TTTTTTTTTTTAAAGCTTCGATCTATTTGTGGGGAGCAGCACCTGCTGGAAAACGGGTCCAGCGTCCCTTACATATAACTTTGATTGAACAAAATCTCAATCCAAAATCCTCATATCCTAGAATGGTGTTGTACTATTCATGGAACTCTAGATGCCTCTTCAGCCAAAAATGACCGCCAAAAGAAAAAAAGATTAACCTAGCATTTATTTCCATAAACTTCCACCTTTCTAATAAAATCACCTATCCTCCCTCTTCCCCCCCAAACCATCCCAGATCCACTAGAACCAGAGCAGATGGTCAAAACGGGACCTGCCAGCTGAGGGGATGTCACAGCCTGGTGTTAGTCCATGAATCATCGGGCCTCGGGGTACTGTGTCTCGTCATGATATGTGAGTGAAGGATCTGCCAAGCCATTGTATTGGATGAATCAACCTGGCACACTTCTGAATGAGTTGTTATGCATTGAGGGCAAAATATCAAGAAGGGTCTACTAGCACGGAGCGCCGAACATGAAAACTACACATTTACCTTCGACTTTGGCCGGTTCAGAGCACGTAGTCGAAGAGGAAGATCATCAATGAGTAGCTTCCTGTTGGGTAGTTTCCTGTTTGAGGGACCTCGGTAATATGACTGATAACCCGAAAAATTCACAGACGTCTCAGTTCTAACTTTGACACCCTACCCGGCAAACTTTAAGAGCTATTGACAGACCTGACGCTTGCAGAAACTATGGGGGATGACGAGGTTCTAGTGTTGAAGCATTCACTAGTTATAAACAAGGGTGAGGGATGGGAAGAAGAGGCATGTTTAGGTATGAAGCTGCACCAGCAAACCCAAAGAGAGCATGCGGTTCAGATGGCTGGTGAGAAGAAATATATTAAGTATGTGATTTACTTTTACTGGCATGACAACAAATTGCACAGTATTAGTTCCTCATTGGAGACTGTGAAACGAGCCAGAACAGAGCTCGCACGGACCCAGCAGTGCCTGAATCACCCTTCCAAAAGCTCTACCAGCAAATGAACATCAAGTTCACCTCAATGTCCTCTGTTGTTCTTTCTCAGTGCTAGTGAATCGGCTATTGGGTGGTCTAAAATATCTGTGAACTTTCAGGCAAAAACTCAGACAATACTCAGGCGATACTTAGTCAGTATCCTGACACCACTCCAGTAGACTTTTAATCGAAGTCTAACTTATTACCCTCAGTTTAAATCGTTCGAGATTTATAAGCGAAGACAATCATCACAGGCCTACTTTTCTTATCCAGTCATAGAGATCAGTCTCTGGTATCTGCCACGACACATGGTACGGTGACTGTTACTAGCGGTCTCAACACCATTCAGTTTCTCAAGTCAGCAATTAATCAGTAATAACCAGTTTTCTGATCAACAGTCAAATCGGTTTTCGGATTTGTAGTTAGATCAATTCTCTGATCAGCAGCCAGTCGGCATTCAGAACAGTATTCAAAACGGCCTTCAGAACGACGTTCAGAACAGTATTCAGTAATTGGATCAGTACTTGGAGCGGTATTCGGTACTCAGATCGATGACCATAATAGTATTCAGTAATCAGATCGGTACTCGGAGCAGTATTCAGAACTCAGAACGGTGTTCAAAACAGCATTCAAGAGTTACTTGGCCATCGCACAATCAGTATTTAACTGCTATTCAGTCTCTACTTAATCAGCGTTCAATGATATTCTAATCAGTACTCACCAGCATTCAGAACAACATTCTGAACAGCATCCAAAAGTTTTCAGGCAACTGACGTCTGTTAATCAAGCACAATCACTTTTCTCTATCTGGGAGTAACTATTTACCAAATACATGAGAGAGATCAACCCCATTACAGTGGACCAGTCGGTCCTTGACTGTCTCAACCTGATCGCTGCCAGGGAGAGTTTCCCCTACAAGTACGTCAGGATTAATGGGTTCAAGAGAGAGGACATGTCCATCTTCATTGCTCTCACGGAGTTCGCTGAAGGTACAGTCAGTGACCTATGGATCTTCCTGAAAAGGGGAAATGAGACTCACCCTCACTTTGACGCGTTATGGGCAGCAGCAGCCAGGTATGTGTAGTGGAAAGTTGAGAGACTCGAGGGTAATACAAAGCTGGTCTACAGTTTCGGTCCTAAGCTCTTCACAGATTATCCTAAACCTCCTGTCCCCTACTACCTTACTGATGCCTCTTATTGGGGCGGTCTGGTGGACTTGGCCAAGAGATACATATCGCCGGCAGTGATTGATTATGAGGCGGTGACCGAGCCCTCTGAGTTTCCGCATCTCAAAAGGGGTATTTTCTCTCAGCCCTATCTCCCCACACTATGGGAGGAATTTTGTGCCATGGTTGATTTCCGTATCATGGGACTTGGCTAGAAGTGTTTGGAATTGGTGGGCTTCATGTGACTGTGCATTCAGAAGCCACAACCTCAGAGAGTACGGAGACGTGGCAAGAAGCCCAAACGACGGACAACAAAGTGAGAGACAGAGAGAAGTTCAGAGGGTTGAGTGAGGACTCTTGATTGGTGCTGGCCATGCTCTCCTCCATATGTACTCCCTGAGACTATTATGAGTTCTCATTCTTCCCTCATTCAGTTGCCCCTGTCGTTGCTTGAGTCAGTCAGTCTTGCTTCTTGCATGGATGATTCTGTCACAATTCTCAAAATCAGATTGACATAATTGATGCATGCATAGCACCCCATGATTTTATGGTTGTTATTTGCATAATTCTCTGCTGTTCCGAATCAAAATAAAAGATTCCTAAGACCGGGGACCGGCGAAGACCGCAATTGACGGATCTCGCTCGAAGCACACAACAGGAAGGGATTTGCATTATTTAATTTTATTTTATTGCAATCAACAACAAAATCATGCGTGACAGCCTGCTGGCTTTCTTGGTCGCTTGAAGTGGCACGACTAAGAAAAAGTGCGACAGCGGGAGCCTTGCTATTGGTATCCCGATGACTGTTAGGAATCGGCAGCGTGTTGAGCCAACTCCGAACGTTGGCACTGCAAGGCATAGAGTTGATGAACATCTTAAGGGTGTTGTCGAGCGCCATGTGCTTGAGGTGGACAATCTAAAAGAGATGAGGATACGGGAGATTAATGCAAGAAGGGAGGTTGAACAAGAGCTGGAGGTGGTCAAAGAGAAGCAAAGGAAGGATGAGGAAGAAGTTATGAAACTTCGAAGTCAATTGAAGGAACTCTCAATGGAGAAGAGACGTCATGCAGCCGGCACTAATTTAAAAAGTAAGCTTGACGAGGCGACTAGGTTGTCATCCAAAAAAACGGAGAAAGGTAAGCAAGCGGCCACTCCTCGGGCTGCGACTGATCAACGGGACATCTTCCTGAAGGATGCTAGGCGGGTTTTAAAGAATCTGACGAAGAAGGAACTCTTGGTTATCTGCGAAGAAGAAGGGGTGGATTATGTCAAACTGGACACAACGAAGAAACTGATTGCTAATTTGAGAGCTGATCGAGCAGTTGAAGCAGGTAAGGGAGAAAGGAACGGGGTGACGATTCAAGAAGTGTCTGATGACGGGGGCGGAGGGAACCAACAGGAGAATGGCGATGTCTCGACTGATTCTTAGTGTTTTTCCCGAATGCGGCTGCTTTGTGGTCTGTTCTTAAGTCTTGCGTTAGGTTGAGGTTGCGTCAGGAAGGGTTGTTGAACTGTCGTGTGTTCAACTCGTTTTTTAGCATTGTGGTATGTTCGCTTATTGTGTTAGGACAGATCTCATGGGGTGTTAAGTTGGTTAGTTCGATCACGAGTGTTGCTGCCGAGGGGTATAATTTTGAGAATGGACAAGGGCCTGTGGTTTATGCGTTGTTTTCTCCTTCGAGTCGACACCTTTACGTGGGTAGTACAAGTCGTGATGTGTTTACCAGATGGCAAGAGCATGTGTATAGGGCTGATCAGCCGGCGGTGCTGGAGAAAGGTAATCGAAATGAGAAACTGTACTGTTGGCTTAGGAAATATGGCGTTCATGAATATGTTGTTATTCCGTTGGCTGTGTGTTCAAACGAGGATTTGGTGGCTGTTGAAAATTACTATATTCGAACGTTGGCGCCAGTGCTCAATATCCGAGGAAAAGGAAGGCGGTCTAAACGCAACTGACCTGGAAGGCGCGAGAGATTGAAGATTGCGAAACGACGCTTGGCTAAACCTATAAAGGATGAATGTCACCCTAGGAATGACTCTGGTAACGTCGTTGTCTTTCATGGTAGTGTTGAAGTTACGTCGGTTAGCCTTCTACGTATCTTGGAGTACTGTCGTGAAAGGAACATTCATCATTTGACTGTTGGATGTAAAGGCGGTGATCGTCTGACTGACCGATGGAAAGTCTTGAAACGTATGTATGGAGGAAGCGTGGTCTCTAGCAGTTTTGGCAAAGTTGAATTACGGTATGGTCGGTGTTGGTTGAAGGGTGGGGTGTGCATCTCCTTTGAGTCTGTTGTACCTTTCCTTAGTAAATCTCTTGCTTTAAAAGGCCGGCTGGTTGAGATTTTAAGTAACCCGTCCCTGAAGAAGGGTCTATTTGAATGGGAGTTGGATAGGCTGATTTATTCCTACACGGCTGTTCGCACGTTAAGTGAAAAAAGATCGAGCTTCCGATTACGATGTATGTTATCCAGAGTTATTTCTATGAGGTTTGGCTTGAAGGTAGGGAGCAGGATTGTTGTGAAGTTGGTGTACGATGACACTTGAGTAAGGCTAAGGTTCGTGCTGTGGTGGTTAGTTTGTTGTCTGTACTCAAGATCAATCATGCTTGAAGGAGATGTTGATACGAAGATTAAGGATTGTTTGGCGACGAAACAAATTAGTGGGAGACTTGATTCATAACTTTCGTGAGTATTCCATGCGCCGCACGTTTGAATGCAAATATGTTGACTGTCATGGGTTCCTCCCAAGAGTAGAAGGCCACGTTAGTTTTAGACTTAATGACGTCACGATTTTTCCTTCACTAATGAGGAACTCCAAGAACCTGCTTCGACCATCACGAGTTAGTTCGATTGCTACTTTGCAGAAACAGATCTTGTGTGCTTTCAAGGATCACCCGTCTTTGCCTTCCCTTGATGGAGATAGTATCCTAAATTCTGCGCTACGAGGGTGTTTTTGCCAACAAGGAGTGAAGAAGGAACTGGTTGTTGGGGAGGATGACTTGTTGCAATATCAGGCTTTGTTGAGAGGACTAGTTTGTGTCCCCCTGAATCACAACATGAGCGGCACTTATGTCTGTTGCCCTTCGGTTTATGAAGAAGGAATGATGAAGCTGTTTTTCGGAAACCTGTCCTTTGAGATCTGTGAGAGAGATGAGAGGGAGTTCCTCGCATTATCAGTTGTTCATTACAACGATGCAGGTTTAGCTAAGGTTAGTCAGTGGAAAAAAGGCGGTGAGTTAGGCAAGGCATATTGTTTACCCAAGCATAAGGACGTGTCAAGGTGGAGACCGATCTGTCCTTGAATGTTTTGCGGCTTGGGGGAAGATTGTAGCTCGTGCGGTCAATGGGTTGTTGTGGAATTTGCCTTCGACTTCCAACTTCAATCTAAAGGGGGCTGATAAGTTATCTCAGGAGATTAGGAAGATTAACAAGTCATTGGGAAAGAATGATTGTCTCGTTGGAGCAAACTTTGATGTTAAGAAAATGTTCTCGAACCTCCCACACTCCTCTATTTTGGTAGCACTAATATGGGTTGTTGATTACTGGATGAATGAAGGAGTGAAGGATGTTGCTGTTCGGAAGCAAGGTAAAGGTGTGAAGTTGCGCCGAGGTAATAAGGAAGATGGGTGGGCATATCAGAGTTTTCCTGTTATTCTAGACTTCGTCCGTTTTGAACTTAGTCATACTTTCGTATCAGCTGCTAGTCGAATCCTACGACAAACGGTAGGGATCCCAATGGGGAAGTCGTCGAGCCTGGCCCTTGCGTGCCTTTTATGTGCCTACAATGAATCGCGTTTCCTTTCTAGCTTAGGAACTGATCGTAAGTTGGTGTGTGGGTTACGTATGGTGGATGACGTTTCTATCCTCATCAAATGCAAATGCGGTGATCAAGAGACAAGGAGAAGAGCTACGGGGATAATTAGGCAGTTTGAACATTGATATTATCAGAATCTTGTGTTGGAAAGGACGGGGGGCGGAGAGGGATGGGACTACTTAGGTTGTGCCTTACGGATTTGCGAAGGATAGAAGGGGATACATTGTGTACCAATGATGAAAAATCAGAGAGAAGGGTTGAATGGGAGGTTAGTTTTTCGGAATTTACAAGACTATGTGTCCTTTTCTAACAAACAACAGAAGATGGCCATGGTCGGATCTTTTCTTCATCGGGTTAAGAGATACTGTACCTTACGTCACGCTGACATCCCTTTCCTTCTAGCATTAAAGAGTGAGCTTTGGCGAAGAGGGTACCCTGATGAGGTGTTCGATGTTTCGGTAATCTCTTTTTCAAAGAAACGTGGGGGGGTATGGAATGATGTTGTCATGCTGCTTACGAATTGGTAGGCATGATGGGGAGATTACCGGTTTTGCTGGTACTGATGGTCGTCTGACATCGTGTTAGGTGTCTAATGAATATATGCTGTGGGGTTTTTCATCTAGTTAGCACCTTTGACATACCGGGTTGGCAGATGTGGTAATCTGTTTTTTGTACACTGGCAGAAACTAGGACTTTTTTTACCCTGGAGTTTGCAAGGGTCTATTGGCCTTTTGGATGCGATTTGGCGGTAACGTTACCTTAGGCCAAATTAAAGGCTCAAATTGAGTCATACGGGTTGTCTGGATGCAGCTGTTTTTTTAAAGAAGATGAGGATGCGACTTTGGTGTGGACCTGGTGCGGTTTAGTTACGTGTCATAAGATGAAGTAGGAGTTATGTTGGCGACCTGTGAGTATTCAGACCAGATTAAGAGGCTGTAATAAAGACGGAGGTGCTGTCTGGATTCGGTTGCGTTTTGAGGAAGCATGTACGGAGGTTGGGCTTGGAGGATTACGACCCAGTACTTAGTATATATGCCCGTATATTTGGTCACATATTAACTGTTGCAGGGTTTTTATTTTTTATTTTTTACCTTTTACTTTTATTACGATATTTCGAGTAGCTGTTGTCTCTTTTTAGTTCTCCGCAAGATATATAGCCAGTATCATTTGCTCTTAACGACAAGACCCCTGATGATCCTGGTTTGGCGGCCAGGTGAAACTGGTAGGGTCCATCGCCAAACGGATTATTCCGTCAATCGTGCTTTCCTTCATAATTTTTGAAACAAGTCGTGTTCGGGTTACTGGTACTACTATTGTCTTGCTCCATCGCCTCTCTCCCTCCCTCCTTCCTCTTCTTCCTTGGTTGTCGGCTTCCTCTCTTGATGGTGTCATTGTGGTTGTGTTGAAACCCTGCTATCACTTGTCTTTGGATGACTGATAGATACGGGCAAGTGGACCCGGACCACTCTGGTAGCCGAGCAAAGCCCAAATTTACGACCAGTAATCATCAAAAGAAAAAAACACAAAACTGACCAACCAAATGAGGAACAACAATTCAGAAGAGTAAACTCTCTTTGTCCCTCTCTCTGTCTGTCTCTGTCTCTCTGTCTGTCTC